CTTCTCAGTCCACCATCTCCTCCTCTCCCTCTCAACCCCTGACTTCACTGCATTTGCAGACTGCGAGAGAAGAGATACCGGGGTTGGTGATATCGGATCCAGACTCGACTTTTGGGGACTTCAGACATGGCAACGAGGGGTTATTTGGGATTGGTGACCAAGACTTGGTGTTAACGACACTCCCAATCTCTCCCCCCCTCCTTTCGTCTGGTCCTTACCTCTTCGTCTGTGTATGTCTGGACCTGGCGCTTTCCCCCTGTGTGCAGCGCCAGGCTCCTTCACACCTGGTGAGGGATACGATGCATGTTTAGTCTGAGTTCAAACATTGATTGGRCTCGTGATTGGTATTCTAGCATTCTGCTTCGCTACTTGTACTACGTGTGTGAGGTCAGTCCTTGTCAGGTCAGTCTTTGTATCTAAGTCTTCCCTGCGCTATTCAGCACTTTTGTATGTATGAGAATGCACATTGTCTGTCGAGATTCTACTCTCACCGCATTGTCCATTTCAGTCCTTTTTATCACACTGCAGTTCCTCGGTTATTACGAACATCACATATCTGTGCATGTAACACTTCATCTGCAGTGGGCGTCTTGAGTGGTGCAGAGAGGGGTGTTGGATTTAGGAGGGTGTGTGGCTATTGGCAGGGTTGAGGAAGAGGGAGGAAGAAGAAGACTCCCGGATACTTGGATGAAATCTTGTAAATAATTGGTCTGTGGGTGTTGATAACGTGGTTGGGATGCTTGGAACAAGTACTCTGAATTGACTGTAGGTCCTGTGGGGGAGCATGAGGGATTACAGAATTGAAATTTAATTTTCAATTCTCTGTGTATTTTGAGCTTCCGCTGTGCATATCTCCTCTCCGGTTTTGTGTGGATTTGCCTCCTTCTAGTCTAATCTGCAATTGCGTGCGTGTATGGGAAAGTGTGAATTCGTTGTGGATTGAAGTTTCCAATTGCAGTTTGGCAGTGTATACAACCCATCTTGCTGTCCAGGTAGGGTACCCGAAGTGCAATCGCAAACTGTATCTTGGCCCATAGTGCAATTATAATTAATTTTGGCGACTACGGAACTTACTCCATGGGCCCATGAAAATATTCAAAACAAAAGAATAAAATCAGGGGGGGGCCTTAAAAAGTTTCGACCCTCCTATCGTTTTCAAATTTTTATTATTTTATATATTTTTTAATCAACAGATTAATATAAAATTTAAGAGGCAGGTGCGCGGCATTATAGTTTATCTATAAAAAAAAAGGGCTTGAAACGGGCTTTTGCGGGGCCCGAATCTCTACGGGGACAGGCCCTGAATGCCGGCCCAAAGGCCCGTAAGTACGGAGGTTGGCTCAGTGGCCTCCGTACGTACGGGCTGGTAACACAAATGTTATGTTATCGTTTTTTTTTTAAACAATGGTGGACGAGGCAGGTTTTGAGTTCACAAAGGCAAAAAATAATACGTGCCCGCAAAGATATCACGGCGTGAGTTTGAAACGGCAATTTGGGTAGAAAAGAACCCGTTGGGCCGTTGGGCTTCTTTTTTTTTTTTTCCTTTGCCCGTCTGACACCACCGCTGACCCCTGTAGTTATGACACCCGGCTTGACTCCACGGCCGTTGGTACTTTCATTGTTTTTCTTAACTCAGCGCCTGTTGTTTTTTTTTGCCGGCGTGTGCTTTTTTCGCTCATTCGATATTTGAAAGTGACTGCAGCCCCTTCTTTTTTTCCCTTAAAAGCCAGTCTGACTTGCTAATGAGAGTGCTATCAGCATCTCCCCTTAGTAATTCCGGTTTGGTTCCTCCTGTCTGTTGGTGGGGAGAACCACCTGCTGGAAACCGGGCCCAGTGTCCCAGATATATCTTCTTTGCTATCACTTTCGTGTCTCTATTTCTCCTGTCACTGCTGTCAGGTCTGCATCATTGATTGCTCTGCTCCTGGCAGACCCTACCTAGGCCCAGTGGGCAGTGCCTCAGTCCTAATGGTCTCATGCAGTTCCCAGCCCTGGCATACAACTGGTGGGGTAGGCCTACGGGTTGGATATGCAGGCTGGATGGTGCCAACCAGCTGGGTGCGTGGGCCGGCCTTCTCTTAGGGTCGTAGTCAATTTGCCTGCCCACCTTCACTGAGGGCGGGGAGAGCCTTTCTCACCACGGCCAACTTAGGGCCCCATATCCTTGCACGATTGGCGGAAATAAACCCGATCAATCACTGGCAAGGGCAAAACTACAGCAAAATAGCCCTCGAACATTGCCAAGAAAAAACACAGGCACAAGAACAGGCACAAGAACGACCAAAGCACAGGCACAGACGGGACACAGGTACGCGGACAGGTTTAAGCCCAGGTCCAGGCCCAGGGATAGCCTCAAGCACAGGCACAGGGACCGGCTGAAGCCTGGGCCTACGCACAGCAACATTTGATGTGTCAACTGCTTGTCCTGTCACAGGTGGAGGCCCAACTGCGGATGCGTTCGCATGCCCAAACCCAAACCATGCAGCACTGGATTTATGCACCCAGGGTGCATAATAGAGACATGCCAAGATCTCATTAGAAACATGCTCTCAGATTTTGACCATTTGGAAACGGCATTTGAGGACCACCCAGACTAACCGGACAACGAACAGCAACAGGTATACTTGACAGAGAAAATGGAAGTTAAACACCGATGGCGACACGGAAACAGAGTTCCCAGGACAATAGCAACTCATCACCAGCAAAATGAGAACAAGTAAAATGCAAGGCTGATCACCATTCACCACCAAACCAAATCACAGATCCAAAAGAAAATAAAAAGGCAAAACAAGGCTGAAAAACACTCCCTTACATCCGTCAAGAAATTGAAATCACAGTCAAAGGAACGTACCGACTGGATCTCGCTGAAGTTGCTTTCCCTGAATGCGATCTCGCTCCATGATTGTTTCGCTCCATTTCCCTGAGAGAACTTTCGAAGACTGATCCTGAAAAATACGAAGTTGACAAACGCAGCAGACAAATGTGTTGACCGGGCCAACCTCGACCGGCTGCAAGTGGGAGAAATTATAATATCACCTACAAAGCAGATTATTAAGGGAGTCTGGACGAGCAGGTCAAAGGACAATTATGAATGGATGTACAGGTCAAAGGACAAAAATGAATGGACGGACAGGTCAAGGGACAATTATGAACAAGTAAGCCAAATCAACCCACAGCAGAACGGTGGGGGGACCGTTTGGCCCCCCCCCAATACCCGACCCCGCTGCAGTTTGGGTATGTAAGAGTAGAGTGGATAGGGGACGCTGGACCCGGTTTCCAGCACTGTGGCGTCACTCCCATTGATGTACTGTGTGGCAAAGATGTAATTTTGGGACGCTGGACCCGGTTTCCAGCAGGTGGTGGCTCCCCACCAATAGATGGAGCGGCCCGCCAGGCAAAGCCTCAATCCCGGTGGTTCACTTACCACCACCAGGATAGAGGTCTTGCACAAGGGCCTTTAAAAAAAAAAAAAAAAAAAAAAAAAAAAACACCACAGCAGAACGACGACGGCATTGTCTTCCCCCTTGAAGGACAGTTGTGGACAGAGGGCTTAGTACAGAAAATGGCAGGTGTTCTTCACACCGACAAGGTATAAAAATCCGAACACCTCTTATGTAGATGATCACACCACACCTCCTCAAGTCTACTCTCCTTATTACCCCAACGCAAATCACTAACCAAGAGACAACTCTCCCAGGTCATAGTCTTTCTGAAGAAGTTTAAGCTTCAGAATGGAACCTGACTCTCGAAAGACCCAGAAGAATCAGCAGAAATTGATCCAGCAGAAAACAACCAAACCAGTTCTGAAGCAGAGTCTGATTCAGAAATTGAAACAGGAAATATAAGAGCAAAATGGTCTCACACAACCGGATGCTTCAGCCACTGGTACTCACACAGAGCCAAAACATTAAGACAACCACCCGTGGCAGAATCACAGAACTTATCAGACCAACCTCCTTTCCACATGCAGTGGAAACCTACCCGCCGTTGCAAGGCATCGTAATATTGCGCATGAGAAGGGATCCACAGAAACAGCAATGGCAGTTTGGGCATGAGAACAGAGGGTAGGCTGGCAGAGTACAATGCCACACATCAAAGGCCTAAGGGCAATTCATGGGGCTCACCATATGAATGGAGAGGTAGGTATGCCAAAGGGAACACCTTACGAATGACTTGAACACCTTACGAATGACTTGAACGCTCATCCAAGAAAACGAGGGCAAAGGCGGTCCGGTTAGCTGGGATCTTGTTTGGCTATTGCAATGAGCCCCTCGGCAATCAATGCTTAATCTCACACACACAAGCACCACATTCACATGAGAGTTCACACCGAAACCCAGAAGATGAGACCCGATTGAATACATTAAAGAACTGCACCCCTGTTTTTGTGGGGGGTAAGTTCGGTTGTGGCACAAACGAGTTTGGAAAGGGCAACAAAATCGCATGCCGCGTTCAAAAGAGCAACAAAAGCATTTTTACCCCCGTGCCGAGTTGGAAAAGGGCAACAAAATCACACACGGGCCATAGCCACTTTTAACGATACCGCCCATAATTTCAAAACTCCGCAGCCGATTTTGTTGCCCACACATGTTTTTTTTGCCCTTTCAAAACTTACAGTGTGACACTGCCAAACTTGTTTCCTTTTTTTTTGGGGGGGGGAACAGCCCGGGAGGGAGCGAGAGGTACTGGTACAGGCAGTCACCTCTGGTTGCCCCAGGGAGGCTCGATCTATTGGGGGGGAGCTGCACTCTAGTTGCCCCAGGGAGGCTCGATCTATTGGGGGGGAGCTGCACCTGCCGGAAATAGGGTCCAGCGACCCATATACAGAGTTTATAAGCAGAATGCATTGGATGTGGCAAAGCAACAGAAAAACGTACGAGGAGCGCCCCTTCAGCCTAGGGTAGGCCGCCAGGACTGCTCGTGGATCTACTCGATTCTCCCCCTTTCGGATTGCTTGGATCTTCTTTGTGTGAGGCCGGAGCCCCTGACTGTATCTTGTTGCATCCAAGTACCTCCGTGAGGGCCAACTCATGCGTGTCATCCATCCCCCTTGTTCTCCCCCTAGCCAGTCCACAGAGAATTGTTTGGTGCCTTTGTGAATGTCTTTGCATTGTGTGAGGTGTGCCTGTTTGGATTTGGCCAGGGCCCATGAAGGGTCAAATTTTATGTTTTATGCTTTTTATTAAGCTTGTAGTTCCATATGTATGAACTGTGGAATCATGTCCATGACCTCGGCACCATTTCAGAAACTTTATAAAACAATGGTAATTGTAAGGACCTGCCAAACACGGACTGAGACACACAGCTGATTTCTGAGTTTTGCCAATGGAATGCATGCCTCAGTTTCCCGCTTGTTGCTGAGTTTTCTAAGTCTGTGTGGGTGCTTGTTGCTGAGTTTTCTAAGTCTGTGTGCGTGCTTGTTGCTGAGTTTTCTAAGTCTGTGTGTGTGCGTGCTTGCTGGTCTGCGTGCCTGTCTGAGTGCTTGTCGGCTCTGAGTGTGTGGGTGACCCGCAAGGGTACTTGTTTGTTCGGGAGGCCTGAAGAGCCGGTACTTACCTGTGGCCGTGACTTTGAGGGTTGCAGCGGGGAATACACTCAAGTGGCGGTAGGAGGCCAGCGACACTTAGAGCAGAAGAAAAACACTCAAGTAGCAGGTAGGCCGGTACCACACCAAGAAGTGGTAGATGTGCCGGGTACTCGAGGCCGAGCAGAAGAAGACAAAAGTTGGCATTTTTAGAGGCCCAGTAGTTGTAGGCTAGGTCTAGACAGGTACCAGTCCAAGTAGTCTGAGTCTAGGGCTTGTAGATGCAATATCAGAGCTTGCAATGATGCTCCCCTCCAAAGGGGAGTAGGTACTGCATGCTTGGAGGCCTTGCGGCTTGGAAGTCACCGCCCAAGAGGCAAGTAGGCCACTATATCTCCAGGATGAGCGAAGTGCTCCTCATTTGCAGCATGCAAGTTTGGAGATCACGCAGCTGGAGCGCTGGAGGCACAGCACTAGTGCGCAGCACTGTGTGGGGAAGAGGAGCGCCCAGCTCCCCACCGTGGCTATGGTGGAGGAGCTCTGGCTGGAGGAGGAGGAAGAACAGGACTAGGAAGGTACCCCGCTATGGTGGATGCCATCTTCATCACCTTGGTGGGCACTGCATCTGGAAGGCCGCATTGGGGGTAGCGCTACATCAATAAGCTTTGAGGCAGAGTTAGGCATGGTGGCCTGAGCCGGAGCAGCCATAGCTGCTTTGACTTGTCTTTTGCATATCAGGGCAAGGCCCTAGCAGTCCGCCATAGCCTCGGCCTTCACGACAAGGAAGGAGAAGGGTGGCCATGGCTATGGTGGACCTCATGTTGTACCTGCAGTAGAAGAGGGATTCGGACATTGATTCTGCTTCAGCCATTCAACAGTATTATTCTTTTTATTGTGGATTAAAGAGGGGAGGAGAAAAGGAGGAGGGGAGTGGTTGCGAGAAGAAGGGAATTATCATTGGTCTTTACTGGTGTACATCTTCTTCTTCAGAATCTTCTTTCCTTCTTCTTCTTCTTCTTCTTCATTCCCTCTCTCTCTGTGAAACACACGCGGCGGTCACCGCAGGCACGACTGGGGCCGTGAGGCCGCGGTCATGACCGCGGTGACCGCGGTCTTCGGCGAGCCGCCGCGGCCGAGGGGAGAGGGGGTTGGGGGTCGGGTTGCGGATTATGGTTCCGGAACCCCGACCCTACACCCTTGAACCAAAAAAACTTAAAAAAAATAATTTTCGGGGGTATCATTTTTGGTATGTGAAAAAAAAAAGGAAAAAAAGAAAAAAAAAAATATTGCTTGCTTGCTTGCTTGCTTGCTTGACTAATTGATTGATTGATTGATTGATTGGTTGATAAATTGATTGATTGATTGATTGATTGATTGATTGATCGAATGATTGATTGATTGATTAATTGATTGATTGATTGATTGATTGATTGATTGATTGGTTGATTGATGACTGATTGGTGGGGGTGGTCCTCCCAACCCTCC